CAGGGTCCAGTGGTTTTGAACTGCTGACCTTATGGTTAGCGACCACTGGATAACCACTATGCCACTGGGGCTTCTTAAATGTAATCCAGATTAGGTAAATCTAGAGAGACAGTAACTGAATGAACATTTCCTTAGTGCTGGCAAAGGAGATTGAGAAGTAATGAGGAGTTAATAATACAGTGGAGCCTCGGTACTCGACCGAATCAGTACTCGACAGAATCGGATTTCCCGTTGAAGTGATGAGAACATGTTGCATCAAAGCTGAAACAAAACATCGGAATCCGACCAGATGCATGTGATTTTCTGTAAACAAAAACAGCTCGTGTTTCGGTCACTCTGCGTTATTTGGCGTTGTTAGTACGTGTTGTCTAAAACTTTTGCGGCTGTGATCCAAGCGTTTTGCTATAATTTTCTTAGATTTTGTGGCCCTTTGTACTATGTTTAGATAAAAAACATGGTTCCTAAGAAAGTTTTTTGAAAAGAATAATCAGGATAAGGAACTGGTTAACTGGGTTATCGATATTGTTGATGATAATTTAGTAAACCCATTTAGAAGAGAATTAAGGAAACGCCAACAGCAGACCACATTAGATTTTTTTTTTAGAGAAAGCCAGCCAGGTCCTAGTGTAAAAAGGCAAAGAAGGGAAAAAACTCCTGAGAAGCAGCGACCAGTTGATTTTATGGAAGGGGATTCCCCTTCCAAACATGACTCTCTCTCTCCACACCTCCTCTGCACATCCGGTCCACAGATCCAGATCCTCATCAGCCTCAAGGTATGGGCCATACTGTAGTTGTAATAAACTTTAAATGTTACGTTTCTTATTTAAAATATATTATTTAACTCTGAACTTATTTACTTTAACATTTCTGCGTCGTGTTTTGTATAAAAAGGCAAGGTTAGGGTAAAAACGTGGTGGTCGAGAATGGATTCATCTATTTTCAGTTATTGCTTAAGGGAAAAATTGATTCGGAACTCAACTGCATCTCGACGCTTCTTCTAGAATGGATTCGCATCGAGGTCAGGGGTTCTACTGTCATGGGTGGGTGAGAGGCTGAGAAGCAGCCAGACACCAAGGAGAAGAAGCCCAAAGTCAAGAAAGCAGATGCCAGCGGCCAAGTTACCGGCTCAGGGGCAAAGCCCAAGAAGGGGGAGCCCCAATGCAGCCGACCCTGGTCCTAGTCCAAGGAACCCGCCGGTATCCCCGCTCCGCCATGCATTCCCGCAAGGCCATGAGCCAGAGGCCAAGTCCACGGTTGAGAAGAAAAAGGAGAAGGTCCTGGCTACTGTCTCAAAGCCAGTTGGGGGTGACAAGGCCGGCGGGACCCGAGTGGTGAAGCTGCAAAATGCCTACGTCTTACCGTGCGGAAGACATGCCGCCGCGGAAGCTGCTGAGCCCGGGCAAGAAGCCCTTCAGGCCGCAGGCCAGGAGACCGCGCGCCAGCATCTCCCGGGGACCGACCGTGCTGATCATCCTCAGGGCGCCACCGAGGCCAGAGAGCGGTCTTCCTGAAGCAGCTGGCAGCGGCTTGCTGCTTGTGACTGGACCTCTCTCCCTCGATCGAGTGCCTCTGCGCAGAACACACCAGAAGGTGTCATCGCCATCTCCACCAAAATTGCTATCAGTGGTGTGAAAATCCCCAAGCATCTCACACATGCCTACTTCAACAAGCAGCAGCTGCGGACGCCCAGGCACCAAGAAGGCGAGATCTTTGACATCGAGAAAGAGAAATACAAGATCACAGATCAGCGCAAGGCTGATTAAAAAGCCGCGGACTCCCAAATGTTGGCAAAAATCAAAGCTGTTCCCGGCTCCAAGGCTCCTTGTGCTACCTTCGTGCTCACAAATGGGATTGATCCTCACAAATGGGTGTTCTAGATTCTTGCAAAGGTCTTAATTAAATAGCTCAAAGTTTGAAAAAAAATGAAGAAAATATTCTAAAGTTGATTGGATGATGACTGAACAACTCTTAAATATATTTAAACCATTGAATTGTCAATAAAACTATTTTTTAAATGTATCAATTAAACTAGCTGCTTTAAGAGATTATAAATCTTTTCTTTTAAAATAATGATTTCTCTCCTTTCTTTATTTTTTAGGAGGAGCTTAAGCTACAGCAGCGTGTAGGGCAAGGCGCTGCCATTATTGCTGCCTTAATCAAAGAAAGAAATCCCAGCCTCGCTGGTCAGCTTCTGGTGGCATGAAGCGTCAGGAGAGAACATACTATGATTTCTAAAGTATTCCCGAGTACCTCTACTTTTTCCCATCTTGTATGCAGTAGCATGTTCATGGTGCCTTTTTGTCAGAGAATATGTGTTGAATGCCATACTCAGTGTATACAAATGGATCCATGTTGTATCTGTGAGATAAATAATTGCTGTTGTCTATATGAAATATAATTCTCTGAACCAGAAAAGACTAGGTAAATGGAAAATAACAACCTTGGCATGAAGAATCTTTTCACCAAGTCTCAAAAAGTCAAATAGAAATAAGAATACACGAGCAATTCCTGCTAAAGAATAAAAAATTTAATAACTTCATTTGCTATCTTATTTATATATTAATTAATTAATCCCATTATAGTGAAGATAATGTATAAGATTCAGTGTTATTCTTTTTTCCAAAAAGTTTTTGTCATCAGGTGCTATTTTGTATCACACTGGAATTTTCTTACCTTAGACAAAAAGCTGACAATAAGAAATGCCACTCTCTAGTTCAAACATTTTTGCCATGGATGTTATGTCATCTTAAAATCGTTAAGAGAATTGTAATCTCCTTTTGTTTTTCTATTGTTTTTAAACTGTATGTTTTATTTGGCTTCTAGGATATAACTTTCACTTACAAAATTTTCAAAAGCCTCTGGTTTTTCTGTATAAGTTTAAAAGAGACTAGTAAGCTATTCAAACAAGAGACATGGTTTTAGTCTATGTCCGTTAGTCTTCTTTCTAAAAGCTGGGCATTCACTGCACATCATAGGATTCAATGAGTTATTCTTTAATATAGAAACTGCTGCCCTTTAAAACCAAGTTCTTCTTCTTTCATATTTTCACTGGACATACATCTTAAATATTACTATCATTCGCTTATATTACATTTTATAGTTTTTTGCACCCAGGCATGAATAATGACATCTATTAACATATATGCAATGAATTTTAAAAATCAGATCATAACAGGACATAGTGTTTACTTGGAAACAGTGAAAGTTGGCTGCAATGCTTTCTGTTCACGATGAGAAATCTTTCTTCTTAACGTGCTGGATGATGCATCTGCTTGCAGAGGAGAATTTACATTTTGAATTTAAGCAAAAATCAGAAGAATAAATTGTATTTGAAATAATCACTGCAGTTTATTCTCTTAAGTGGAATGTGGTATTTGAATGTAGACTTGCATTTAATTCTTGGGCTTGACTTATCTTTCTCTTCTCTTCTTTCCCCATTCTCCTCCCCTCTCCCTCCTCCTCTTTCCTCCCTCCTCCCCTCCCCTCCCATGCCTTTCTCTTTCCCTCTAGTTCTTTCTCCCCACTGTTAAAAAGTACTAATCGCATCAGTTAATTCCTAATCTTGAGGAGGAAAATGTAGGGTTAGAATATCTATATCCCTATTAAGGTGCTCAGCTAAGGGCTTGACGGTTGGGCCTGCAAAATCTCTGCCACACCTCAGTTGACGTCTTCCAGAAAAAAATATTGTCAGACTCGAATGTCTTATAAAGCAGAAGGAGAAATGTAATCAATACTGATAGAGTTAACTTAGATTGTGACTTAAAAATAGAGTTCAAACCCACCAACTTCTCTTCAGGAAAAAGATGAAGCTATTTGCTCCTGTAAAGACTCACAGCTGCAGAAACACAATGAGGTAGAATTGACTTG